CCCTCCCCCTCCCCAACCCCCAACACAGCGAAGTGTATGGACAAAATATCTATTGGATGTCAGGTTCCAACTTCTTGTGAACATGCAGTGCAGTGCGATAAACAATCAAGACTAACAAGAACACAAGATTAATGTGGTTCGGTATAAATTCTATGTACGTCCAAGGTGCGGCTGTTTTTCACTTTGAATCATAATCTTAAGGACAACAACATATTCATAGGCACCAGTTAATAACCCTAATCCTAGTCGAAGTAAGAAATCTAGTACAGCCAATCCTTGTAAAACTCATCTACCAAATAACCCAATCCAGATAAAACTTCTAAATCAGATGTACATTGAAAATTTCCAATAAACCCATAATGTACCAGATCACCCAACCCTAATAAAACTCCCCTACCAGTATGCTTTGCTCCGGGAAGCACGCCCACTTGTCCATTGTCTTCCGGGCCTAGTGAATCTGAGTCACACTTTAGAGGAATTTCAACAGTTTTGACATCTAAAAATTTAGTACATTTTCCATTTTCAATTTATAATTTGGAAGAACAATTGGAATTTAGTAGTTTCTACCTGAAACAAAGTATCAAAACAAACAAGAGAGTAAAAAAAGAGGGGGGAATCCGAACATTATTTTACCTGCATTGAAATGGCTAACTCAGCATTAGCTTCAGGTGCTGGACCTCCCCGCAGATCTCTTGATCCTCTCATATCCCGGTCAACCCTCTGGCTCCTGACTGCCATTGCTCCTTGCCTATGAGCATTTATTACAGCATCATTGTTATCAGCTTAGATATAAAGTACGCTCACTTAGGCACAAAAGTAATACCAAAGTCCTAGCAACCTCCATTGCAGTCTAAACGAAATTCTAGGATGTATAAAAACAAAAGATGCATTTACTCGACCTAAGCTATTCAGATTAATATACAAAAAGCTACTGATTTAGTAATGCTCAACAAATTCAAAGAAAAAAGAACATGTTATTCATGAATCCAAATTGTTTATTTGGTTCCCCACTCATTGCAGACGCTTGGTAACATCAATGTCACAAATTGCCACCATGAGGTTATGCTGGTACTACTGAGGGCAGACAGCAAGAGAAAAAAGGAAAAAAATTACTACAGTGCAGAATATCAGTAGCTGATAGACAATAAGGTGAACTAAATTGGCAGTCTGCTCAACTTTACCACCATTTATGATGCAGCCTAGAAAAACTGTCATAAAAACAAGTTTTCTTCACAAAATAGAGGATGTTGCATCATAAAATCAGATGTTATATGGCTGCAATACATGCAAATTGATTTCATAACTGAAGAATACTTTAGGAGCATGCACCTTCTAGCTTCTTCATCCCGCAATTTTGCATCAATCTCTTTGCTGGGTGGATACTTTGGCAAACTTGAAGGATCACAAGCAAGTGGCCATGTTGCAAAGAACTGTCAGAGAAAAACAGTTATCAGTCAGGACAATTCACAAGAATCAGGAATATTGCTCCAAAAAAGAATGAAAAGAAGCTGATAATGGTTCAACAACTGTTAGAACATATATAATGTCGCATTCTGAAATAATAAAACTTGCGACATGCTATGTTTTCTCCCCATTGCTAGTACGTTGATGGGTCACACACCGGCACACATGTTTGGCCTTGTGTGCCCATAACTCAAAATAGATGACCTAACGGCCTCCACACAACTAAACATACCATTAGTCACCAGATTCATATGAGATACCGGGTTGTAAGCATTGATCTTCTTAAGATCAATCAGTCTTAAAGTGGTCAAGATAGTATATATTATAGCAATCACAAGAAAAAATTATTCAGCAAGTTTGACCATCCAATGGTATTTTAAGGGCATGCTAAGATATCCATGGAAGTTGGATTTCTACCGTTCCAATTGTAAGTTGATGTATGCATGCAACAGCTCTACAAGAACTATCAACAGGACAAACTACTGAAAAATTGAAACTTAAGCATCTCACTTAGTATTAAAGGTAATCCCATGAAATCAGTTCAAAGCTAGAAGTTCATTTTCTTCAGGGAGGGCATATGAAATATTGTGTAAAATAAAGTCAAATCAGCAAGCAAATAATTGATGGAGGTGTTAGTAGTATGCTCTAAGACCAATCATATAGATGATGTTTTGGGGTTGTACTAACAACATTCATTACTTAATTAAATAAAAGAAGGGCAAGTTTATTTATCATGACTTTATTTTATTTTTAATATACATGATATAGTCCATAAAGTATCACTTAAAAAGATGGTTTCTCAAGGAGTTGGAAAGAGGAGACTTATACTTCTTAGTACTTAATCCTTAAATGTTCCTAGTCATAGGATTACTATGTGGGCATTATGTAATCTGGATAGACTAGCATACACTATAATTACTCATATTTAATATGAGGTGACTCGTCCAAGTCATTAGTATAGGAACACTGAAGCAGATGTAGGTGCTTGTTAGAGAACAAGTATATTGAATGTGACTATTCACTAACGTACGATTTTGCATATGGAGTTTTACATACCTGTCAATGATAAATCCTAAAGTTATAGGTATGCAACTGATCTTTAGACATGAGACACTATGGTTGTCTTGTACATGGACTTTTATGTTTTAACTATAAAACATATTTATATACTAACCATGTAACTTGAATATGTATTATTGGACATAGTTAGACATGCATAGAGATTTATAAGTGTACAACAGGGAATCTATCATCCTTAGTAAATAAGGAGAGAATGTCCTATGTGATCTTCTAGGATATGTGATGGGAATCGTGTAGGAATTGGATAGATATTATAGATTATTTATGATAATTATTTAGATACTTTTAATATTTAGCTTTTAAGTAATTTATTTTAGCTTTTAAGGGTTTAGTTGTCATTTTCATTATTTATTTATTTTAGGGTTTGTGATCTCCTTATATATATAGGATTTGTGAATTCCTTATATATATAGGGGATACGTATTTGTTGAGAGACTTTGATTATTGATTATTGATTATTGATATTGAATCTTCTTTCTAAAATTCTCTTTCTATTCTCTTCCCCTTCTTCTTCTTTTTTCATTCATTTCTTCTTCCCTTCTCATCCCTAATACGATCTACATCAATTTGGTATCAGAGCCCAACTTCGATTCAAAAAAAAAAAAATTTAAAAATAAACGAAGTTACTGTTCATCGCACTGTTCACGGGTGCACTGTTCATTTGTGTACTGTTCATCCAAAAACGTTGTTCATAAGGAAAAGATAAAAAAAGGAGGAAACAAAATTTGTTTATCATATTTTGTCGCTGTAGCAGTAGCCTGGTGGGTTAAGTTTTGAACCAAAGTTCCCGGCAGATTCAGCAAATTACAGAAACATCTTCATAAGTCCCAAAAATTACAAACACATCCCAAGAGGTCTTCAAAAATTATAGAAACACCCCAGAAAATTCCAAAAGTTGCAGAACCATTACTAGAAAATTTCAGAAATTACAGAATCACCATTTGAAGTTTCAAAAATTACAGAATCTTCCCCCCAGAAGTTCCAGAATTATAAAAAACATTCCCAACAGATCCATAAAATTGCAGAATCATTCTCAAAAAGTTTCAGAATTTTCTCTTGATTATGGTATGCATACTCTTATAGAAATTTGAAACTGATATTTTTATTCATTGAAAAATTAAAAAAATTTGCAAAGGATCCAAATTATTTGTCAATTACATTCTTGAACTTGTTTTGGCGTCATTCCCTTATTCCAAGACTCACTCATGAGTTTCTCTAATACGCATGTTTCAAGAATCTCTCCTCAATGTCATCATCATAGGAAGTCAAAGAATGTTTACATGGAGTCAACCCATATGACCAAACGAATCAAAGATCCTTTTATATTTTGTGGTACTCCGGATCCCAATCAATTCTTGGATTGGTTAGCTAATTTAGAAGAATATTTTAATTGGCATGGCATGTTGGATTCCCATTGCGTCCGTTTTGCTAAATTGATGTTGGAGGGTTCCGCCAAGAAGTATTGGCAAACAATCCAAATAAGCCTAGACCCCTTAGGAGAATCACCTATCACTTGGGTTGAAATGAGATATAAATTGAAAGAGAAGTATTTGCCTACTTCCTATATGGATCAAGTTTATGACCAATGGCTCAATCTTAGACAACATTCTTCTAGTATCTCTAATTACTTTGTNCCAAAGTTCCCGGCAGATTCAGCAAATTACAGAAACATCTTCATAAGTCCCAAAAATTACAAACACATCCCAAGAGGTCTTCAAAAATTATAGAAACACCCCAGAAAATTCCAAAAGTTGCAGAACCATTACTAGAAAATTTCAGAAATTACAGAATCACCATTTGAAGTTTCAAAAATTACAGAATCTTCCCCCCAGAAGTTCCAGAATTATAAAAAACATTCCCAACAGATCCATAAAATTGCAGAATCATTCTCAAAAAGTTTCAGAATTTTCTCTTGATTATGGTATGCATACTCTTATAGAAATTTGAAACTGATATTTTTATTCATTGAAAAATTAAAAAAATTTGCAAAGGATCCAAATTATTTGTCAATTACATTCTTGAACTTGTTTTGGCGTCATTCCCTTATTCCAAGACTCACTCATGAGTTTCTCTAATACGCATGTTTCAAGAATCTCTCCTCAATGTCATCATCATAGGAAGTCAAAGAATGTTTACATGGAGTCAACCCATATGACCAAACGAATCAAAGATCCTTTTATATTTTGTGGTACTCCGGATCCCAATCAATTCTTGGATTGGTTAGCTAATTTAGAAGAATATTTTAATTGGCATGGCATGTTGGATTCCCATTGCGTCCGTTTTGCTAAATTGATGTTGGAGGGTTCCGCCAAGAAGTATTGGCAAACAATCCAAATAAGCCTAGACCCCTTAGGAGAATCACCTATCACTTGGGTTGAAATGAGATATAAATTGAAAGAGAAGTATTTGCCTACTTCCTATATGGATCAAGTTTATGACCAATGGCTCAATCTTAGACAACATTCTTCTAGTATCTCTAATTACTTTGTCCAGTTTGATTATCTCATGTACTTGTGTGATATTGTTGAAGAACCTTGGACAATTGATCAGTTTATTTTTGGGTTGAGACAAAAAATTAGTAGGGAGGTTAAACAATACACTTTTAATACGTTAATTGCAGCCTATCAATATGCTCTAAAGGTTGAGAGATTTCATAAGAAATCCAACTATACCTTGATGAGTTCTCAATCACAGCCTGCTGATAGGACATCTTCCAATTTTAATTCCATCACATATGAGTATCATGATTATTTAAACGATGTCCATGTTGTTTCTGCATGCTATCCTAATTCGAATGTGGCAAAGGATTTAAATATTTTAGTGTCAGATAAAGAGAAAAATGTTATTCATATGGACTTCCAACTCCCTCATTTAGTTTCATCATATCAGAGTCTTCCNAATTATTTGTCAATTACATTCTTGAACTTGTTTTGGCGTCATTCCCTTATTCCAAGACTCACTCATGAGTTTCTCTAATACGCATGTTTCAAGAATCTCTCCTCAATGTCATCATCATAGGAAGTCAAAGAATGTTTACATGGAGTCAACCCATATGACCAAACGAATCAAAGATCCTTTTATATTTTGTGGTACTCCGGATCCCAATCAATTCTTGGATTGGTTAGCTAATTTAGAAGAATATTTTAATTGGCATGGCATGTTGGATTCCCATTGCGTCCGTTTTGCTAAATTGATGTTGGAGGGTTCCGCCAAGAAGTATTGGCAAACAATCCAAATAAGCCTAGACCCCTTAGGAGAATCACCTATCACTTGGGTTGAAATGAGATATAAATTGAAAGAGAAGTATTTGCCTACTTCCTATATGGATCAAGTTTATGACCAATGGCTCAATCTTAGACAACATTCTTCTAGTATCTCTAATTACTTTGTCCAGTTTGATTATCTCATGTACTTGTGTGATATTGTTGAAGAACCTTGGACAATTGATCAGTTTATTTTTGGGTTGAGACAAAAAATTAGTAGGGAGGTTAAACAATACACTTTTAATACGTTAATTGCAGCCTATCAATATGCTCTAAAGGTTGAGAGATTTCATAAGAAATCCAACTATACCTTGATGAGTTCTCAATCACAGCCTGCTGATAGGACATCTTCCAATTTTAATTCCATCACATATGAGTATCATGATTATTTAAACGATGTCCATGTTGTTTCTGCATGCTATCCTAATTCGAATGTGGCAAAGGATTTAAATATTTTAGTGTCAGATAAAGAGAAAAATGTTATTCATATGGACTTCCAACTCCCTCATTTAGTTTCATCATATCAGAGTCTTCCTCATTTGCACCCACAAGAGTCCATTTCGAAAGAAAGTGTGTGTGAGTCTTTGTTTGTGTCAATTCTTGAACCATCATTGATCTTGAAAATTGTGAAAAAGTCTGTTGAGTCTACACCTATGCAAGATATTAAATCAATCGAGTCATTTATTACAGAATTTAAAAGCNTCTCCTCAATGTCATCATCATAGGAAGTCAAAGAATGTTTACATGGAGTCAACCCATATGACCAAACGAATCAAAGATCCTTTTATATTTTGTGGTACTCCGGATCCCAATCAATTCTTGGATTGGTTAGCTAATTTAGAAGAATATTTTAATTGGCATGGCATGTTGGATTCCCATTGCGTCCGTTTTGCTAAATTGATGTTGGAGGGTTCCGCCAAGAAGTATTGGCAAACAATCCAAATAAGCCTAGACCCCTTAGGAGAATCACCTATCACTTGGGTTGAAATGAGATATAAATTGAAAGAGAAGTATTTGCCTACTTCCTATATGGATCAAGTTTATGACCAATGGCTCAATCTTAGACAACATTCTTCTAGTATCTCTAATTACTTTGTCCAGTTTGATTATCTCATGTACTTGTGTGATATTGTTGAAGAACCTTGGACAATTGATCAGTTTATTTTTGGGTTGAGACAAAAAATTAGTAGGGAGGTTAAACAATACACTTTTAATACGTTAATTGCAGCCTATCAATATGCTCTAAAGGTTGAGAGATTTCATAAGAAATCCAACTATACCTTGATGAGTTCTCAATCACAGCCTGCTGATAGGACATCTTCCAATTTTAATTCCATCACATATGAGTATCATGATTATTTAAACGATGTCCATGTTGTTTCTGCATGCTATCCTAATTCGAATGTGGCAAAGGATTTAAATATTTTAGTGTCAGATAAAGAGAAAAATGTTATTCATATGGACTTCCAACTCCCTCATTTAGTTTCATCATATCAGAGTCTTCCTCATTTGCACCCACAAGAGTCCATTTCGAAAGAAAGTGTGTGTGAGTCTTTGTTTGTGTCAATTCTTGAACCATCATTGATCTTGAAAATTGTGAAAAAGTCTGTTGAGTCTACACCTATGCAAGATATTAAATCAATCGAGTCATTTATTACAGAATTTAAAAGCGACTATTCTATGTCTACTTGTCCAAGTCATCATGACTTTGTTACAGATTCTTCCCAATTTGAGATTGTTGACATTGTTCTGGATTCTGCCTCACTTGAGAGTGTTAACTTTGATTCTTTGCCTACTGTCAAGTGTTCAATTGAGTCTGTACTTTCTTATTTTCAGCTCCAGGGTGTTATAGTTACTCCTTTGTCANTTGGTTAGCTAATTTAGAAGAATATTTTAATTGGCATGGCATGTTGGATTCCCATTGCGTCCGTTTTGCTAAATTGATGTTGGAGGGTTCAGCCAAGAAGTATTGACAAACAATCCAAATAAGCCTAGACCCCTTAGGAGAATCACCTATCACTTGGGTTGAAATGAGATATAAATTGAAAGAGAAGTATTTGCCTACTTCCTATATGGATCAAGTTTATGACCAATGGCTCAATCTTAGACAACATTCTTCTAGTATCTCTAATTACTTTGTCCAGTTTGATTATCTCATGTACTTGTGTGATATTGTTGAAGAACCTTGGACAATTGATCAGTTTATTTTTGGGTTGAGACAAAAAATTAGTAGGGAGGTTAAACAATACACTTTTAATACGTTAATTGCAGCCTATCAATATGCTCTAAAGGTTGAGAGATTTCATAAGAAATCCAACTATACCTTGATGAGTTCTCAATCACAGCCTGCTGATAGGACATCTTCCAATTTTAATTCCATCACATATGAGTATCATGATTATTTAAACGATGTCCATGTTGTTTCTGCATGCTATCCTAATTCGAATGTGGCAAAGGATTTAAATATTTTAGTGTCAGATAAAGAGAAAAATGTTATTCATATGGACTTCCAACTCCCTCATTTAGTTTCATCATATCAGAGTCTTCCTCATTTGCACCCACAAGAGTCCATTTCGAAAGAAAGTGTGTGTGAGTCTTTGTTTGTGTCAATTCTTGAACCATCATTGATCTTGAAAATTGTGAAAAAGTCTGTTGAGTCTACACCTATGCAAGATATTAAATCAATCGAGTCATTTATTACAGAATTTAAAAGCGACTATTCTATGTCTACTTGTCCAAGTCATCATGACTTTGTTACAGATTCTTCCCAATTTGAGATTGTTGACATTGTTCTGGATTCTGCCTCACTTGAGAGTGTTAACTTTGATTCTTTGCCTACTGTCAAGTGTTCAATTGAGTCTGTACTTTCTTATTTTCAGCTCCAGGGTGTTATAGTTACTCCTTTGTCACTGATGTCTTGTCCCATTGAATGCCCTATTGTTCAAATCTAATGGAAATTGTTTTGCTATTCTTGAGTTTGGATCTAATACTTATTTGCTTAATTTTTCATTGAATGTTAGTATTGGTCCAGATTTTTATTGGGAGGACATACTGCTTAATCGAGGTACTCCAGAGCCTCCTATTTTATTCGCAAGTGTTCACACAGATGGAGATTCTTGCATTTATCCTGGTCGATGAAAAGAAGTCGATGGTTCTTTCATTTTAGATGAGGCATTATGTCATCTTCATCTTGCTCTTTTGGGGTACTTCTACTTTGAAGACTCTCCGAAGGAGAGTTTTTTTCAACCGGAAGAGAATGATGAGGATCGTGTAGGAATTGGATAGATATTATAGATTAATTATGATAATTATTTAGATACTTTTAATATTTAACTTTTAAGTAATTTCTTTTAGCTTTTAAGGGTTTAGTTGTCATTTTGATTATTTATTTATTTTAGGCTTTGTGATCTCCTTATATATATAGGATTTGTGAATTTCTTATATATATAGGGGATACGTATTTGTTGAGAGACTTTGATTATTGATTATTGATATTGAATCTTCTTTCTAAAATTCTCTCTCTATTCTCATCCCCTTCTTCTTCTCTTCTCATCCCTAATTCTTCCCTAATACGATCTACATCAATATGACTTAAGGAGTCCATGACCAAGGCAGAATGACAATTAGAAAAAATATTTCTAATTGATCATTAAGAGTCATAATCCTAAGATCGAACACATAAAATTCAGTTAGGAGTTTGACAGTAACTTAATATCCTAGTAATTCATTGAGACATTGTATGATGGAAGGATTGAATTGAATAACAACTGTAAACTGAATGAGTTCTTTACCTATTTCGTCTATTCGGATATTGAGTTCTAATTCAAGTTAAATTAGAAAAAGTTCTAATTTGAGATGCTACTTGTATTTAGTATCGAATGCCTACAAGTTATACTTGAACCTATAGAGCCACACACAATAGAATTGATTGAAAACTAAAAGGATAAATAAGAGAAACAAATTAAAAGTTAATTGGGGGTGAAAACCTAATTAAGAGTTAATTAGGGACTTTATTACAATTAATAGTTAATAAAAGGGTTATATGTAATTATGAGATAAATGCAACTAGATCAAAACTAGGATTAGAGTCTTCTAAGCCTCTGTAAATACTTTTAAATAGGAGGTAAATATATATAAGGGATAACAACTCTCACTTTCTAGCACAAGACAAATTCACTTTCATTCTCGCTCTCTTTACTAGTTCATTAAAAGTTTTGGTAGTTCCTTCAAATTTGTCAATTAGTGTGGATACTGATAGAGGCCAAACGATTGCGAGTTTTAGGATAAAAATCAAATTCAGATTTGAAGATTGCTAAAAGCACACTTCAAGAAGTATTTCTTAATCTTCTCTATAGTTCTAAGGTTTCTCGGTTTGTATTAAACATGAATAAATCTAAAAATAAGGAATCAATTTTAATTTTATAAAATTCCGCTGCATTTATTATATGATTCCAGGTTCACAATCAAGCTTGACTAAAATTTGTCAACCTTGTGGGCATCTAGGTCCAAATGACTTAAAACCCCTGCTGCTATGATTGGGATAAGTAAGGTGACAATACTAGAAGTGATCCTTGAAGGATCTCTATCTCGTTCTTGGATCTCTCTTCTCTAATTATCAATATCAATGAAAAATATATAGATTAATGTGATCTACAAGAAAAATAGTGGTTGCACGCTTAAGAAGGATACCAAAAACAAAACAACNCGTTCTTGGATCTCTCTTCTCTAATTATCAATATCAATGAAAAATATATAGATTAATATGATCTACAAGAAAAATAGTGGTTGCACGCTTAAGAAGGATACCAAAAACAAAACAATGTATGCAGGCCAGCAAACAAGAATACTTCACTCCTAGCAGTTAACAAACTGAGTCGTCTATATAAAGTGTTCCACAGCACAGAACTATATTATTTATCTATTTATTCAAAATTCAGCCAACTGACTTTTTTGTATGATAATTAATATGATTCTTACTAGGTATTTACCTCACTTTTAAGAGCCAATGCTGCAGTTCCCCGAATTGCAGGATCTATGGAAAGTAAGGTCTCCATAAGCCCTACAGCAGCAGCAGGAAAATCTTTAAATGTTTCTCCAAGACGACGTCTATAAGGCTGCAGAGGTTTGAACACTGTTGAATGAGGTAGTTTTGATTTCCTCCAATAATCCTCAGAAGGCGAGCCACAAAGCTTAAAAATTTTATGCAATTGCTCTACCTAAAAGGTATGAGGACTACATATCAATCATAGTAATTCAAAATTTCTCATATTTTCAGATATGGATATATGCATGTATTTTATGAGCAAAATGGGGAGAATAAAAATGCTTAGTGTAAACTGTAGGGAAGAGTAGATGAAGCATTGTGCACTTAAACTTTTAAGGTCTGGCTGGGTTACTGGAAGCTTAAGGAGTGTAGCCCAAACAGATCACATAGGTCCATCAGACACAAACACATCACATAACTAAGCCTTCTGTGAATTACCCTCATATAGACATCTGATGGATAGTTAGTTGCATATTTAAACAGCAAAAGCCAGCCTAAACATGGGTTAAAATGCAGGCTTTAGGTTTTCTTTGGCCCAACACCTCTACTACAAAGTCTTGATGCTGATGGACTTTCCAGTATGAACACAGGTCACACGGCACCTAAAACATGCCCAGTGAGCCTAAATAACAATGCTATGCTCAGAGTAATATAAAAAAAAAGTCAGAAAGGGGCATGGGTGAGTGGGTTAACATTAAAGAAGAAAAGCTCCCCCCCCCCCACCCTTTCTCCCTTTCTTTCTCTCCACCATCTTATGCTTCCTCGACTTGGTATTTCTAGCAGATGATATTTATCAAAATTTAGAAATAACATGAAAAAATTTCACTGACGGACTGTTAAACACTTCAATCATACTCGCATGGTGAAACTAGATTCCTACTGTACCTCAGTTCTTCCAGGCATGATAGGCTTGCCAGTATATAGTTCTCCAAGTATGCAGCCAGTACTCCATAGATCCACTGCAATTCCATAGTGAGTGGCTCCAAGTAAAAGTTCGGGCGGCCGATACCAAAGAGTCACTACACGGCTGGTCAAGGGCGCACATTGGTGATGATCAAAGAAGCTTGCTAAGCCAAAATCCGCAATCTTCAAGATCCCATGATTGTCAATTAAAAGATTTGAACCCTTAATATCACGATGTAGAACACCATTACTATGACAATGCTCAAGTCCACTCAGCAGCTGCTGCATGTAACATTTAACCTAAAAAAAGAAATGAAGCATTATAACATTTGCTAAGAAGGGAAGACAGAGACAATAAAAAAAGGCAATAATTATCAGGGCCCTTATGTTGTTACTAACCCAGGAGCAACAACCAAGTGTAAGTTAAAATCCAACGACTTACCAAATCCTTGTCCAACTTGATGACATCAAAAGTAAACATTGATGCCAACATACAGCAACGAAATACAACCCAAACAAAAGAGAACTCTTGTAAGTTTATAAAACTACCTGTGGTTCCGTGAACTTGACACCAGGGAGCGATGCCAGTCCTGTAAGATCATGCTCCATATACTCAAAAACAAGGTATAAACTGCATGATGTGTGCGATATTACCAAGCCTTCTAGTTTGATAACATTTGGATGGTCAAGCCTACGCAAAATAAGGATCTCCCTTGCCATAAACTTGATGCTCTCAGGATCCATATTATCAAATCGTACCCTTTTTAAAGCAACAACTTTCTTATTATTAGTGAGGTCACGAGCCTTGTACACGCTACTGTAAGTTCCTTGGCCAATCTGCAAGAATGAAATGTTATCACTCAAGAACCAAAACCCACTATATGAGCAAATCAACAAACATTGAGAAGAAAATTAAAACATACACTCCTAAAGAGAAAATCTCTTCATAAGCATGCATACATTCCTCAACAGCAGGCAATACTGTGACATCAGATGCAATTAAACCATAAAATGCTATGCCTCATTCAAAGAATTTTCAGCAATTCATGTATATATAATCCACCACCATATGTTTAAAGCACTATCCCAATAGATTTTCCCCATTGTTACTCTTTGTTCAACCACTCTAATGGTAGCTATTAATCCAATTTTCTTTTTAGAGGATCTTAGATCACTAACACAACCAGCTCATTAATTTTAGCCGAATGCATCATAAGACAGTTTCGCAGCGTTTGTATGGACAATTGCATTTTGCAACCACCATAGTGTACATCTACTTCATCTTCCTTGCAATTTATCATGAAACAAACCAACTGTCCTTAAGGACTAAATTGACAGCCCAGCAAAAGATGCGCTCAACCCTCAAATTTAAGGGTCCAAAAGTAATCTTCATCCAGGAAAAAGCAAGTAGAATTGGTTATATGATGCCTCTCATATACGAGGACATCTATCCCCGGTAGAGTAGAATTTTTTGAATTCACAAATTTTGGTCCTTTGAATTCCCCACAAGTCATCCTGAATATCCATTCAACTACTGCCAAACTCTCACACAAACCTGACAAGTCTTGTGAAAGATTAGGTTGCCTGCTTTCAATGCCATTAAACAAATAAAACTCCCACTAGATTTTGTGAGGAAGCTTGAAAGTTTGTGTGTCCTAATGTTCATTGGGAAAAATAAGCTTTTTTGACAGGTAGCATTCATTGAATCAACAGACAGCATTTGCAATGTGTATGTCAGTTTAATTGGTTTCAATAGACATGTCATACCGATAGATATGAGGTTGCCTTGACTTAATGATAGAATATCGAGAAATCTCAAATCCATTGTTGGTTTCAATTTAAGAAAGTCCTAAAAAAAAGTGTTAGTACCAATAAAAACTGCAGCATTCAACCATCACGAACCTCGTCAATTTAAAAAAACTGTAATCAAATGCTTTAATCAGGTAACTATCAAGAGAGACTATGTGACAAGAATGCTTTCCCCCACATTGATTTTCCACAAAATTCTAGCTAGTTGAGTTACTAGATGATAACATTGCTAAAACCATACTAGCAAAAGAACTGTAAATAGACCATCCAATTAAACAATAGCCATACCTTGTCTAACTTTTCGAAAGAATTTGAAGGCCTTGGCAGCCATCCCTTGATAGCTTCACCCGCCACTGCCACAAACCAAGATGGCCAACCTGCCGCAATCTGTTCTCCTTCCATAGCTTTAGGAACACTTCCCATCCCTGGAAAGTTTACGACTACTACTTCAGAATTCTCTTTCCTCCCCTCAAAATGATCATCCCTCACCCTTTTCGAATTATTGGCCTTCTTTTCAACTACTCCAACTCTTAGATCACCACTGCCTGGTCTATTCTTTACCCGAAAACTCTCCTCTCTTTTCGATGAAATGACACGAGGCACATGTAAATCCGAGGACTCTTTATTCAATTGTCTCTCCCTTGTGTTCTCCCGGCTATCTTCTGTTACCGAAACCTTACCACAAATGCAACCCATAATTCACTAATAAGTACCGAAAAAAAAAAAGCCCTCCTTAACACCTAAAAGTCACCACCTAAAACCAACCTTACAAAAACCCCTCTTTTTCGATATCCATTGAACTAAATTCAGTGATCGACTAAATTCAATCCAAATCAAAAAAATTTAACCCCGATTCACCAAAATGATCACCGATTACCCCCATGCAATACCTTCAAACTAATCTCCACAAGCAATAACAAAAACCCATAAAAAATGTCGTTCTTCAATGCTTCATGCACAAATTAAACCACCTAAAGACCTCAAATTTTCACATAACAAAACCAATATCCAATACCTCGAAAGTCGACGAATGAAGATTGAATGAGATAAACCCACAAACCCTGTTCAATGATTTAGAATTTTGATCTTCAGAACAGCTTGTGAAGTTTCACACAAGACCCATTGACCGAAAATACTTGGTTTTGGAGGAAGAACTATACATGTGCAAACTGCAGATATATAGAAAGAGAGAGAGGACAGCTTTCGGCCGGCGAGGCCCAGTCAAGATATACCCAGCTCTCTCTCTCTCTCTCTCTCTGTAACTGAAACAGTTTCAATTTCTGTTTTACATTCAAGAGCAGGTATGCATTGTAGTGGGACACTGGGAGTTGGACACTGCCTCTCCCTCTCTCTCTCTCTCTCTCTAGAAAAGGGTAGTTGAGGTATCTTTGGGGATATTTGAACTTTGAATGCTGAATTGATCCCGTTATCAACTTCGATTATTCTCACAAAAAAGTTATCCGTCACTTGGACCGTTATCAACGTCCCCTTAATTAAACTTCCACTCGATTTTACTCGAGTTCATGGGTACGGGACTCGCTTTCATATAATAGATCTTACTTGCATGAATTGTAAATAATCCATCATCTTATGAAATTAAGAAAAAAATATAATCAAACGTGTCTCAATTCAAAAATTTACTGGAGGTGTAAGATTGGAGTAAATATTTAATGTAACGGTGATATCACGTTATCACTGTCATGTGGTATCACTATTCAATTAAAAGACTAAAAATAAGTAAAGTGAACTCCATTATTTTTGACGAACAAAGATTTAATTGGGACAGACCCAATAAATTAAGCAAACTCAGATCCATTAAAAATGTAGGCCAAGCCAATTCATCAATTTCACCCAGTCCAAGATTCAAGGAGCCTAGGAAGATAAGAGCACGTAGGAGAGAGATTATCAAGATACTCTCTCTCAAAGATCAAGACTATTTTAATTATACTTATCTTTTGTAATCATTCTCCCCAAAAAATTAGTACCCTCATACTCACGTTACCACATCACCATGCCTATAAATTCTAAGTTCTGTCCATTGAGAAGAGCATCTCACTACACATTGAGTTCTACCTCTGCATCGCTCTACACATATAATTTTTCTCTCTTCTAGTTATTGTATCTCTCCCGAAGTCAACCATTAATCCCTCCCATTCAACTTACTTCATCAATAAAGACTCTCTGCCACCGTTGCCACTTTACTTCATCAATAAAGACCTTTTGTCACTGTTGTCATTTCTCAGATTGGAGTAGATCACCCAGACCAAACCACTATATATTTGTGTGTTGACTCAATATTTACATTACTGTCATTGATTATTTTATTAATTGTCCATTAATTACACCTTATCACACACTCAACTATTAATCTTGCACGAGACTGTTTTGTACATCATCAATTTTCATAAGTATCAATAACCACCACATCCAATCAGTAATATATATAATTAGTGAGATTCACTTTACCTATTTGTTGCCTTATAATTGGATTGTAACACCAAATAACGGTAATGATATGATATCACTGTTACAATAAATATTTTATGGTAAGATTGGTTTGCGGTGGTTATAAAAATTTTAAAATGTATTAACTACAAATATTCTTTTAATGTGGTTCAAATCATAATTAATTGATTGGTTAGAATTTTTGACACGANGTTATAAAAATTTTAAAATGTATTAACTACAAATATTCTTTTAATGTGGTTCAAATCATAATTAATTGATTGGTTAGAATTTTTGACACGACTGAATTTATTGCGGCCTAGTTTAAAGATTAGCATCTATTGGGGTTGATAAAGTTTTGAACATAGAGGCATGGTTTTACTCTAAGTAAAGTGCATAATCGGGATTTGATCTTTGAAATGGACTTTGTATTTCTATTACATTCCTTTTTTAACTCCCAATTGCAAAGTAGTAGTGATGTATACATTAGGTGAAACGGGCATGTCATTGCAACCAGTTTTCTTTCAGGATTTGGAAAAAGTAGTAGTATGCAAGTAATTTACCTTACATACAAGCATTCCATTTTCTGTTACTCGAACCCGAAATACACATATTATAATCAGTGGCGGTGTCAAGCATGGTCTAAGGACCCCCTAATTTTTTGTCAAATTGTAGACATTTCCGAATAAAGTTTGGACATAATGGGGTCATTTAGTAATTTCTTACAAAATTAGGTCAAAATATAATAAATTATAGGATCATCTCATAAATATATAAAAACTTGGGGTCNGACATAATGGGGTCATTTAGTAATTTCTTACAAAATTAGGTCAAAATATAATAAATTATAGGATCATCTCATAAATATATAAAAACTTGGGGTCTTAACTTCACCTTGCAAAATTAAGTGGATGATATATTTGAAGTTTGAGGGGGATCAAGGCGTAAAATTCAAGAATTGAAATTTTTTACACTATTTTGGCGTAGAGTTATTTAATACATTTAATAATATGCAATTTCAAGAGCTAAATAGTTTTTTCACTGAATCGAACACCAAGTGCTTCATTAAATTTCAAACTATTAAGAATTGTTGATCTTGTTCAAAATGGTTTCATCCACGAATAAATTTCTAGTTTCGCTCATATTATAATTGTGAGTTTAAACATCTACCTAAATTTCCTATCAACTGAAACCTAAAGTCAGTCAAAAGATCAACCATTAAAACATTCTTTATGACCATCCTTTGCATTGAAAGTAGGCCATTGTAATTTTCAAATTGGGTGTACAAAAGCTCTCTTTCTTGTTGTCACCTAGGCAATTAGTCCAAGTCTTAATTCAACAGGTCATAACTCATAAGTGGACTCTATCAAATTAGGCAAAAATATAATAATAAAAAATGCTGGCTCTATTCATAATTTAATATTTTTGTGGGCCATAGTTGAAAAATCCAACTTTCTAGCCAGCATTGGCTTATTGGTGACAAAAATTAAGATGTGGGGGCACTTCAAAGTAGTTGGGTGATGTTTTTAATGTAATTATATGACAAAAATTTCCCTACCATTGACCTTATTGCAGACTTTTTTTATGTGTTTAAAGTATGAACTTTCTGCTGTCCATACATGCACTCCTATGCTATACAAATTCCAGACATGCATTAGACTAGCTCCATGTCCATGCATCACAATTATAATAGAATAATGTTACTATATTAGCAAGGACGGATCCAAAAATTTAGTCCGAAAAAAAAAAGGGAGTCAAGCTTTTAAATTTTTATAAAAATTGGGAGGATGAAACCGATATAGTTTGGAAGTGTTCATAACATCAACAAAATAAAACGGGAGTACCCCATTATGATATTTTTTATGATTGATATTCACCGGTTTATATATCGAGGTTTCAAGTTTTAGTATGGTGTGATACATCTTGATTGACTCAATATACATGATTTTTTTATTAATGAGTCGATTATAAGTTTACCTAATAGTTATTCGGCTTGTCAATTGATCGGGTTTGGATCGTATTCTTATTGATTTGAATCCGAATCCGAAAGTTGATTTGAATCCTATGCGATAAATCTGATGAATTTTATTTTCATGGTCTATTTCTGAATTCGTTAACAATCTAAAAATTCGATCANAAAAATTTAGTCCGAAAAAAAAAAGGGAGTCAAGCTTTTAAATTTTTATAAAAATTGGGAGGATGAAACCGATATAGTTTGGAAGTGTTCATAACATCAACAAAATAAAACGGGAGTACCCCATTATGATATTTTTTATGATTGATATTCACCGGTTTATATATCGAGGTTTCAAGTTTTAGTATGGTGTGATACATCTTGATTGACTCAACATACATGATTTTTTTATTAATGAGTTGATTATAAGTTTACGTAGTAGTTATTCGGCTTGTCAATTGATCGGATTTGGATCGTATTCTTATTGATTTGAATCCGAATCCAAAAGTTGATTTGAATCCTATCCGAATTCGTTAACCATCTAAAAATTCGATCGAATCTGAATAACTTAATTAATTAAATTTTAACATGTTATACTTAGATTCCAACTAAATTTTTTTACATAATCACTTAATTTCTTTAATATTTTATATAAAAATATATAAATAATTTAGATCAGTTCATAATCGAATCGGATATAGATTTATTCAAATCCGATCCGTAAAATATAAGATATCGAATTTGAGTTCAGATTATTGGCAAAAGATATTAATTCATATCTAGCTAACATCAAAATCCAATTCATTAACAGGCCTAGTAATTACGAGTTCCTAGAATGTGTTAGAATTTCTCTTAGACCTCAGACTTTTGACATCGACTGAAGCGTTTAGAACAAGTGAAAAGTTTACAATATACCGAAAAGATTTATACAGGAAATAACAGTTGATACCCTTTTAACGATCCATCTTTTCTGTTGCTAACTTGGGTCCAACCATCACTCCGAGGGACATCCCATTCACCCACCCTGGAAAAACCGTGTAAGTATAATAATTAATAAGGAGCTTTGGGTCCATCCNAATCGGATATAGATTTATTCAAATCCGATCCGTAAAATATAAGATATCGAATTTGAGTTTAGATTATTGGCAAAAGATATTAATTCATATCTAGCTAACATCAAAATCCAATTCATTGACATGCCTAGTAATTACGAGTTCCTAGAATGTGTTAGAATTTCCCTCAAACCTCAGACCTCAGACATCGACCGAAGCGCTTAGAACAAGTGAAAAGTTTACGA